CATGTATATATGTCTTTGAACTTGCATTTCGTTGTAATAATATTAAATGGGTGTTGGATTTGTATTTCTTTGTTTTAATAGTGAATTCCAACTTATACATTGTTAATAACATAATTTTATATACGTGCCTATCTTGCCCCATTACTGTTGCCCCTATACCAGGGGCAACTTTAATAAAAATAATTAAAATAATTACAACTTTACAAAAAGAGAGAAGTTGCCGATCTTGCCCCTATACCCGGGGCAACTTCGTCAATTTCTCTCTTCTTGTAAAGTTGTAATTATTTTAATTATTTTTATTTCCAAACTGATTTTAACCAGTTCTATAGTAAGGTAACATTCCAATAGACAATATGCAAAGCTTTTTTTTCAGTTTACAGCAGTATTTATTACACAAAATTTAAGTAAAGCTTAACATGCCGATCTTGGCCCGGTCTCCCCTAAATTAAGTATTTACTCAACAAAAATCTTTTTCCTTCTTAAAATATGTTATTTCGCACGATAAGGCTTTAAAAGCGCAGTATTCCCCATAATTAAACTGAAATAAAATTAAAATGAAATGAAATGTACTGTACAGTACATACTTTAATTGGAATAAATGTGAAGAAGTTGATTGGAAAGAGACGATCGAATGATAAACTGAAAGGATTATTTAAAAAGATAGGTGATAAAGCATCCGTAAAGAACACTAATGAATAATATTTTAGTAAGAGGAAATGAAGAAAATTTTCCATAATTGAGGAATTTATTCCCAAAACCTGCTAAATCCAATGTTAAATTATTATTATATTACTTTCTCAACTGTTATACAACAGAGGGAAAGTATGGTCCGTCTAAAAATGACCCCCATAAGAATTTTACATTTTTGGACTCACGGATCTTGAAACGTCAAGGAATGCAAAAAAGTAAAGTTGTTGGTTTTTTTTCTGATATATATGAATGTATTGATGTGTATGGGGAATATGATTTTATTCACCTTCTTTGAAGCTTAAAACTGCATTTGTGCAGATGCGAGAAATGCAAGGAGAGAGAAAAACAGGAGGAAAGCGGAAACAAACGAACCAAGGTCACGCGCCTACGACAGTTCTCTCTTATTTTCCCTCTAGTTGCGTTCATGCAATAGCGGAAAGGGAAAGTTCGATGAATTTTAAAACTAAGTTTAAAAAAATAAATAAATAAATAAAATGAAAAATAAACGAAAATACTCAAGGAAGGAAGAAAATTAACATTTCCTTTCTTTTATTTATGGTATTCCTGTGTTTTTGCAGTTTCATCACGCTTGACAGATTGCTGGCATTCTCTGTTATAGGTTGGTACCACACCGAGTGTCGAACAGTTCCGTTATAGTTCATATAGCTGCTTTAGTAGTTCCGATCGGAACTGTCGGAACTAATAAAGCAGCGAACTGCTTATCTGGATTTGTACTTAAACTAAATGAAAATATTCCACGTGATTTTAGCAATAATCAAATTAGTTTATGGTATTTTAAATTTATAAAGATATTTAAAAAATTTATATTTTTATTAGAGAACGTATTATTTGTTATATAAGTAACTAGCAGATATGTCCGGCATTGCCCGGCCAAAAAGTAAGAATGGTAAACGTTAAAATGAAAACCTATATTATAAGTTTGATTATTTTAGCCTACCATTGTTATATACATTAAGCGAATAGCCTATCAAATTACGGCTACAATAAAAAGGGCTTATTATATCAAGACGAGAAGGAACTAGACTCAAATTATTTAAATATAACATTAATTAATATGGGGAATGCATTTCGGGTACACACACCCCTCATCAGCCCTTTCAAGATTAGACATATAGCAGTAAGCACAATAAATATCTAAAATATTGTTAAAAAAAAAAAAACAGTTTACAGACTGATATTATAAATAACACAGTGCACTATTACAGTATTTATGCCTAATCTTGAAAGAGGTGATGATAGGTGTGTGTGTGTGTGTGTACCAGAAATGCATTTTCCATATTAATTAAAGTTACATTTGAATAATTTGAGACTAGTTTCTTCTCGTCTTGATATGATAAGCCCTTTTAATTGTAGCCGTAATTTGATAGACTATTCGTATAATGTGCATTTAATTTTGGGCTAGAAGCGTATTTAATTTACCTTCATTATATTTATCATGAATTGTAGAGGCGATAAAATCAGGGGAAGAGCGGGATGTCCAGGTTTCATGGTAATCTATATTTTCTTCAGAGTCCAGAGCATAAGCATTAAAACTTTGGTGCAGATCGGACAAAGGGTTTAGGAGTTAAGAAGTGGTTTGCTACAAAAACTTCAACATACAGAAGAAAAGTTTCTCAAAAATACAGTGAGCGAGGAACCTGATTTAATTTAAATTAACTCAAAACATAGCTTTAAGAATCATTTGATATTGCAGTACATAAATCTACAATAACCAGTAATTTATACGATGCCCAATATAAAGCATGCATTACTGTCAGAAAACTCCTCATTTCAAAAATTTGCAAATTGTAACTCATTTTCCTATAAAGTATTATAAAAACAGAAAATCGGGTACTGAAGAAATGTACTTTTCTAAAGTGAAAGCAAATTTAATGCTTATGATAGTATTGGTAAAAAGTATGTGTGGAAGCATGGACTGCCTATAATATTCCTCATTTTCTACCGACTTCTCTACAATCACCTGATATCAATCCTATAGAACATCTATGGGCAAAGTTGAAAAAGAAACTATAAAATTTTGAAATCAGAGCAAACAACAGTTAGAAGAGTTTTAGTCCAAGAACGAAGAAAAAAGAAATTTACCTGATTTTTATGAAAACATAGCATTAAGTATGCTTCGTCACCTCCAAGCTGTTATAGATGATAAAGTGGACCAACAAAATATTAAATAAATGTTTTATTTACTTAAATACTGTTGGTATTCCCACTTTTATCAACAACACTTTTAGTGAAATACTGTATTATTAAATTATTTATTTATGTTTTTCAAAATTTTTGCAATACTATTAATAAATACACTTAAATATAACAAAGAAGATAATATTTAATAAATTCATTTTCTGGTAATGTTGAGTTTTCAAAATTTTCACTCTGTATGCACACTTTGCAACACACTGTACAGTACATAAAAGAAAATTGTATCTCAAGATCGTTCTGTCCCTTGGCTATAAGTCCGCCTATAAGAAAAGTGCGCTAACACGGAACATAGGAAATTAATCGTTTTCATTTGTTTTAGAGAAAGAAAACGTCTAAAGAAAATTCCAATTTAATAGCTTTGTTTTATGTGCCATCTCATATATTAAAGAATATAAAAATACAATTAGCTTTTTACTAATTGTATTTTTATATATTTCATCATTTTTATAATTTTTTTTATAAAATTATAAAAATAATGTTCCAAAAAAACTAAAGTTCTTTCATATTAATATTTTAGTCATCGAATCTTTCAAATCGGACGCACAATAAAGTACAAATTTATAAACAAAATAAAATATGTAGTCTTAGAAATTGCGAATGCTTCGTCTAGTGCAGGGATGGCCAACAGTTTTTGCCCGGGCCGAATTGGAAAGAAAACTTTTTTCACGGGCCGAACCAGAGGCAGCCCTAGGAAGATTTTGAGGTGGTGCGAGATCTTATTGTGGTGTCACCCCATAAAGACTAAATTGTACATAGAGATTACAGATAAATTTTTCACATTATCATGTTTTATCAACATTCTACGCTGTACTTAAGAGATTTGTAATGGAGGGTTAACTCTAACTGGACAGTAAGTTGTTGACCTTTTTTTTTCTTTAGGCGTCAGAATTTTTCATCGAGCTATTCGGACTTGAGTAGCTAATATTGAAAGATTAATCGCGGCCAGCATAAATTCATTAGACGGGCCGGATTTGGCCCGCGGGCAGTATGTTGGCCATGCCTGGTCTGGTGAATACTGACCGACTGCGGAAACGAGACTAAGATTAGAAAAGGGATCTTAGTCTCTAGAGAGCTTGTAAGTCCGGGCGGTTAAGTGAGGAGTGGTTGTATACATGGTATAATACTTTATTCAGGAAATCTCGTTAGTTCGAAATTCAAGGGACGAAATAATCGCGACTTCGAATTATCGAGTTTCGAATTATCAGAGATTTGCATATATCTGAATAATATGCCAAATACCACGTAGCCGATGTAATTTATTAAGCAAACGGAATACAGTAATACCCCGAACTTACGCGATAGGTGGGACCGAGCGATAACCGCGTAAGTCGAATTCGCGTAAGTCGGGATATAATTTCGCAATTTGTGTAAACTCAAAGTCGGATGTATGTAAGCTAATAAATGTTCTCGTCAATCTTATCTCATCTTTTGATTCGTTCACGTTTGCAAGAAATCAGCACATAGAGTCTCTTAAGTCTCCGTAGATATAGCAAACACAAAAATAAATAACACAAAATAAATTGTAGCTATGCGTCGATTCCGCACGACACGTCCGAACATGTAAGTTGAACAGTAGTGTGGGGTTCAAAACTAATCAAGAGTTGCGTGGCGCTGAAATAAAAGACGAATCGACGAGATTTGAAAATCGCGTAACTCCGGGTTCGCGTAAGTCGGGGTAGCGTAAGTCGAGGCATTACTGTACAGATACAGAACGCTATTTTTGTTAATAATTAATAATAATAATAATAATAATAATAATGAGTACCGAGTTTAACCCACTAAACCCAACACATAATAATAATAATGCACAAATTGTACACTACTACAACAGAGCCATATTCACAGATAAAACAATTTACCACAACAGACCAGATATCACACTCAATGCACAAATTGTACACTACTACAACAGAGCCATATTCACAGATAAAACAATTTACCACAACAGACCAGATATCACACTCAATGAGTGTGATATCTGGTCTGTTGTGACAAACACAATAAAATCACATATATTATAGACATATCCATTCCAAACACTCACAATGTCAAAACACATGCACTGAAAAAATCAACAATTACACAGAACTCACCCAGGAAATAAGGCACTTGTGGAGGATGGATAGGGTGCTTATTGTATCTGTTGTTCTCTCCTCTACAGGTGTGATACCACACACACATACACTACACAAAAGGTTGGGAACATTACAATTGAATAGAAATAAATACATCATACTACAGAAGGCCACTATATTGAATACATTTTATATTGTTAGGAAATTCCTGAATACAGACACACACACTCTGACACACTTATTTAATGTTTTCTTATGGTTGCTATGCCTTGACTCTGGTCCGGCATAGTACACAGCCACCGGTGTTAATCGAGTATAACTCACTAAACTCAACATAATAATGATAATAATACAAATTATTTTTAAAGTGATCCAAAAAACAAGGTCCTAGAATATGAGTAGTAAGTCGTCCAAAAGTAGTAGCCTAGAGCCTATAAATATCTCAATCTGCTACTCGTAGACCAATCTTGCAATCTCGAAAACCAGCCGTATTTTATGAGATAAGAGGTAAAACGGTAATCTATGGATAAGATGACACCGAAAATGCGTTATTGTAAAAGCGAAGCCATATTGACTAGACTAGAATTGTTTTTGATCTATTGTTCTCTTACAGCATGGAGGCACTTCGATTTAAACGAACGAGTGAACGTTCGCATATGGCAGTTCGTACAGAATTTTCACTTCGAATTACGAAGTAACCAAATTTCTTAACGTGTAAATATCCAGGCCGGGACAAAAGTACACTTACGAACTAACGGAATTTTGGATTATCCGAGTTCGAATTTACGAGAATTTCCTGTATATAAAACCGACGAGGGGCCGTCTAGTTCAATAGACTAAGCAATTCCGACAAAACATAATAGTGCAACTTGACTGTTCCGACGAAACAGTTCCTCATTCGGATCCGTTCCAACAGTTCCAGTTCCAAAAACGGAATTGGATTTCCCACCTTGATTTTCTACCGTCACCATTTTAATGTCGTCGTTGCGCAGAAGCAAGGTTGCCGAACAACTGTGCGAATGCCAACTAGGAAGAGGAGTGAAAAATACGAGAGAAAGCTCAACGGGTTGAACTTTCGAGGAGAGAAGCTGGTGCATTTTTTTGTACACGTGAGAGAACTCCTTTCCCTCTTCTGCTTAAGGAAAAATGAAGAAACGATAATGTACAAAACGACTAGTTTTAGCAAAAAGTAAAAGTTGCGTGGAGAGATAATAGTATTGTACGGATTAAAAAAAATGTTTAAATATGTTGATTATTATATACATACTGTGTATTTTAAGTATTATATGGATATACTCTGTACTAATTACGAATCGTATCGGTTCGTAAGAACGTAGATTGATTCTTTTCGGAAAAATAATCTAAAACTATAAAAACATTTTTAATTGGAAAATTTGTGGTGAGAAAATTGGAAACAACTCCAGGGAATACGATACCGAAGTATAAGACGTAACTTTTGATATTAAGTTAGTGACGCCACTTTTGCATTAATTGACGATATTTACGATATAAAAGAATCTTCTAACATTTTATTCTGAATGTGACTTGTAGGATCAAAACGACAAGGTAAATCAGTATTCCGTAAATTCATATTTGAAAAATCGTTTGAGTAAGTATAACTCCTTTATTTCCTCATTTATAATTTTTCTATCGCGTTTTCCTTTTGTAAACATTTATAAGGTAACAACTTAAAAATAGAACTTTCGTCAGTAGTAAATCTTAAATGTCTTGATGCAGGAAACACGATTGTTAATGTTACAAGGCGTTAAAATTCGTGTTTCCTGCATCAAGACTTCTAATTAAATATTCCTTTTCTAAAACAGAATATTTCCTGGAATAGATTCAATCTAAAAGATTCATACAGTCGATCTTAATATCGTTTTCTTTATTACCCATTGGATAATTCTAAAAATTTTAATAATATAATACAAAAACAATCGAGTTTATTCTAATTAATAATATAATAAAATAGTTTTAGAAAATGAACAGTATCGTATTTATATATAATTAGATAGAATTTTTAACATATGCAGAATTATTGTTTCAATTTTTGCGCTTTATTTATTAATTCAAATAAAGTCATTAAGTAAATAAATTTTACATTATTATCATTATTAACGTCTTTGCAATCCAATGTAAAATAAAACCGCAAAAATTAATAAAAAATTAAATCTATATGAAAACTTTGCATAGCTATTGATGACTAACGACTTACATAGGTCAAAGGTTACTCAACACTAATGGTGTGGATGCAGGCCGCGAGTGAACTTCGTAAGCTTTCGACGGACCACATGCATAATTTCTTACGAAGTTGCAGGCCAAAGTCGTTACGATAGCAGTCATTCATCACTTGTCAGAAATACACGAGAGTGCACCCTATGTTGAAATGGTGTTTTATATTATATATGATAAAAATACTAAAAAATTGTCACTGTTACTTCATTTTACTGGTACTTTATGAAATCCTTCGACTTTACAACGTACTGTACACTAGCTTTCAGTTGCCTGATCGAGGTTAAATTGAGAGTTACGCTTAAAATCCGTGTATATGTCACACTATATAATAGTCGGCAAACTTACACACGTGTAAGTAGTATGTCCCAAATTATTAAAGGAAATAAGGATAGAGGAGTCACAGTAAAGTTCAAGGAGAGCCGCAGTTAGCCAATGTAGTAATATATGCTAATGAAATGCAAATTACGTAGTTTATTTTCTTTTCAGTGGTTAAGTTTAGTTAGAGTGTCTTTTGTCTTGAATATCAACTTAATTAGAGTTGCATTTTGACACGAGACAGAAAGTATGAAAATAAAATTACGTTGCCAAAGACCTTGGGACTGCATATTAGAACCTCGTCGGCAGCGGATTGCTCATGACTGCTCTAGATAGAAAAGCCAATATAGTTTCAATCTGTATACTTCAATTTAGGATCATTTCCCCCTTGTATGATAGAAATGATAGAAACTTAAAAATTTTCGTGTTTTTATTTTTTAGAAAAGTTAAGTTCTTATCTTTTGATAAATACCAAAATGTAGATTATACATTACAAGAAATTATCTTTTGTAAAGATTTTTATAATTTTAAAAATACAATTATTAGCGATTATTGAATAAATTTTAATTCTGGTAATTACAATTAAATGATTATTTTTATTTAAAAATTATTTTAAATTTATTAAATCCGATTTATCGAATAATAATCAAGAAATTATTAAATAGATAAAGGAAAATTATGTCTAGACATGGAATTTAAAGCTACTTTGTATATATAATGTCTATTTTTAATCATTAGTTCGAGGCGAAATACTTACACTTCACCTTGAGTTAAGATTGTTTTAAAACTTAAATCATTTGCTTTGTGAGTAAAGTAATTTGTAATATATGTACAATACTGTAAGTTTGCAAGTAAAAAAATTTAGCGACAAGTTGCGAAATTTTCCCGGCTGTTATGAAATTGTGTGTGACGCCATCTGTTATGAGATTTTGTTATAAAAACTTTCTATATTTTTAATTATTATAAAATGGCAAAAGACTTAATTTTGAGAGTAGTGATGAGTTCCATTAAAAAAAATCGTGAATACTAATAACGAATAAAGTGCGACCTCTCTCGAGATATGAAATGTAAACTTCTTTATTTCTTACCCTCAGGACCTTTAACCATCAAAATTTAATAGCATCAATGCCCCTTATACACAAGCTGCCATGCTAAATTTCGTTCTTTAATCTTCACTCCATCCTGAGATATTAAATGAAATAGGCACCAGCACACACACATACACGGAATTTTCTCTTGCATTTTTCGGGTTCAGTTGTATCAAAACTCGGAGAGCTAAATTTGTCGCAATTCCTTTACCTTTGTACTTTACCTTGTTATGTATACATAACAGCCGGAAAAGTAACATTATTTACTGGCTTATAGACTTACTGATTATTTACAGAGAATACCAGCTTCNACTCACCATAGGTAACATTAACTGCACAATTACATCATGCGATCACCAGAAAAAGTATGATAACTTTATTATTTTTCGTCTCCGGTCCAAAAGTAGGGTATCGTTGAAGTCGTCTCGGTCCCCTCAGTTCAGATAGATACTCAAAGTCCCGAAATTCCATAGGTGGTTATCTATATAATAATTTCCTTAATTGTAGTAATATTTTAAATCGTTTGATTTTTTTGTATGTTTTTTAATTGGTTAATGATTGATTCTATCAACTAATTTGTCGATTGTTTGATTGTATTAACTTGATTCTTTAGATATCGAAATTAAATAAAGAACATTATGTTAATTTAAGCGTACAGAAACGTTGCTGTTGTTTCGGCAAAGATCTTATTTTCACTTTACCGAGTGCCTAGTAGGTAATTTGCAGATTACCTAGATAATCTGCACATTACCTAGGTAATTTGAGAAATAGAACAATTTTAGCAACTTTAACGGATCACGCTAGTTAATCTGCAGATTAACGAGTTTCCGAGCTTTAGCGGTAATATATATCAATTTCTGATATAATGTTTTCTGTTAATAATTTCTTCAAAATTGAATAAATACATTGGAAAGTTTTCTAGTGTAATTTTATCGAGATAAAAGTTAAATTTAAATAAATAAATAAAAAATTCTCCTTTCAGTAAACACTGATTGTTTTAAATTATTTTAAATTTTTTACGTAAATCGGGTATCAAAGTTATTGAAATTATTGAAATCAATAGTGTAGCCTAGAATTTAGTTTGGCAAAATGCTAACAAGTGGATTTTAATTACGTTTATATACGTTATTCTATATTATAATTTAATACAAACATCAAAACAACAACAACAAAAAGTGTGCTTACCAACTTCAAAATATCGAAAATTTGGTATTAGGATTATATTTAAATTAAATTTTTACTTCCCCCTGTTATATATAACAGAGGGAACGTATGGAAATCGGTAAAAAAAAATGACCATCCCCAAGATTTTTACAATTTTGGACTCGGGACACCTTGAAACGTCGAGAAATGGGGAAAAAATTGGGAGTAATTTTTGTATGTTTTATGTTAATGT